ACAACAGCAGCAGCAACAGCAACAGCAACAGCAACAGCAACAGCAACAACACAACACTATTTCTCCTCTCTCACACCATTATTCTCTTATTGGCCACTGGCTATCGTGAGAATAAAGATTCGAACAACACACATGCATACACAAACACAAACGCAAAGGGTGAAAACATGCTCTTGTGTGATCTGGCATAGAATGCAGACTAATGGTCGGTGGACTGGGGGTTCATGTGCTGATCTGGCCGCGGCATTTTGGTGCTGTGACCAGGATCTAAGTTGTGTTCTGGTTACTAATGTACCAACGGCAGATGAAATAACCGGCCAGGCAAACTGCGCCAAGTCCGACATCAGAAGGATATCATCACCTTTCTGCACACTGGGGCCGGGGGCAATTGAGGCCTAAGGGCGTACTCAGGACGCCCAACGGCTAAAGTCCATCCTCCGCAGCCTGTGACACTTTCTGAGCACTCTGAAAGCGGCTCTACGATATGATCGAACCTGTTTTTGAGGCCCTAGTCATCGCCCTGACCTTCGCCATGACCACCGCCGGGCTGCCACAAGACGCGCAAGCAACCAAGCTATTGCCAGACAAATGGAACTGGCTGCCACCACTGCGCCAGCTACTAAGCAGGAACAGCTTGCGGCGGCCAATAGGGAGCTAGCTGGCGACATCTACTCTCCAGCGGACAGTCATGAGGAGGAAATGGTGAGCCATTGATGAATCCTACATGGGCACCCCAAAAGGGCGCTCGAGCCACCTGCACGCCCAATACGTAAGTGGCGGTTACCATCAAAACTAGCTGATGTCCACGTTGACTAGAAAATAGGATTACGGACACGGGGTTCACAATGGGTTTACGAACAATTATAATAGTAAATCGAGGAAACATGAGTCTAAGAAGGCCTGATAGATAGATAGATAAATAGAGAGAGAGAGAGAGAGAGAGAGAGAGAGAGAGAGAGAGAGAGAGAGAGAGAGAGAGAGAGAGAGGAGAGAGAGAGAGAGAGAGAGAGAGAAGCGAGAGAGAGAGAGAGAGAGAGAGAGAGAGAGAGAGAGAGAGAGAGAGAGAGAGAGAGAGAGAGAGCGGGAGAGAGAGAGCGGGAGAGAGAGCGGGAGAGAGAGCGGGGAGAGAGACGGGAGAGAGAGCGGGAGAGAGAGCGGGAGAGAGAGAGCGAGAGAGAGAGAGAGAGAGAGAGAGGGGGGGGGGAGAGAGGGGAAGAGGGGGGGGGAGGGGAGGGGAGGGGAGAGGGACAGAGAGAGGGGAGGGGAGAGGGACAGAGAGAGGGACAGAGAGTAGGGGGGGGGGGGTTTGAGTGCTCATACTCATAGGAACAGGACCGTCTTCCACGCGGGTTACTATGGTACTCAGTAACTCATGTGTACATATCCACTTATGAACTTCTTCAAAGGTGTCTCAACTCAGAATTCCAGTAACCAGGCAAGTCGTACTAACACGTACTATCATCGTTGAATTCACTACAGCCAAAACAATGAATGCGAGATGAAAATGTTGACTATACGTGGCGAAATTCCAACACAAGTTACGTGCATGACCGCAGGCCACACGATGGCACGTGACTGATATGAGCTACATGTATGTGAACCCTGCGCTTTGTGCAAATTGTGAGAGGTGAACCATGCCCTGCCGTGGCATGGCATGGCCTTTCTCAATCCAAAGTACAAGCCGTTGGAGACGACTGGCATACTATAGTGTACTTTAAACGGTGTGACAAAACGTGTACACGTGATGAAAAATTGACTCAGAACGTTTGAACCATCCAATCAGTGAACGACGTCAAGGACTCAAAATCAAAAGGAACACAATGTCATGCAAATGTCCCAATGTTGCTGATCTAACAAAGAGCAGCAGCCACTCATTATCATGTGCATGCAACAGTTACCCAGCATTATATGTAGTTGAATGTCATAATATCGACCACCCCGTATCCATCAAGAAACAATTCTCAAGCATATCACATTACTAGTACAGTATTTCAAATTACTCACTTGCCCATCCTCTAGCCATATGACAGCATGATTGCGAGACAGCACCTTGCAGTCAAATATGAAATTGTTCGTAGCTGCTTTTACTTTGGCAACGCTTCTCCCTACTTTCATCTGTTCGCTGGGGTTCACGTAGCATTCCCTCTCCGCGAATGGATGAGACTTCGGGTGAGGGCGAATAACAATCTTCACCGCCATTTTCGTAATGACAAACAGCCTATGCCCAGGGTATATGCATCCACAAAATCCCTTCACTATCAAGCCACACTAAACATACTTCAAACTTCAAGATGTTTTATCTAGGCAAGAAAGGCCAAGAACAAACCAAGCAACTTTGTTACTTCAAAGATCAGTGCACTTCTGTTTTTACAGTTTTGACGAACAAAAAAAAAGGTAGGTTTCGGTTCATTCTTCGCGCAAGCTGTTGAAGTGCAAGAGCAACCGCACCTCGCGCGTGCAGCTCCACGCTTCCAGCGCGCTATTTTTTTAGCGTGACCTGCCGCGCCGGTTATCGCGGTTGGCGCAGAGCTAGCTAGCTGGGCAGTGGCAGGCGCGGCCGCGCGGCCTGGATCTTGTGCGTGTACGTGTACGTAGACCTACGTGTAGTCTACGTGTGTGTGATCGCGATAATTAAAGGGAAACTGAACGCCAAAAATAAGTATGGCTTATCCGAAGGAGAATTGGGCACTGATTCCGATGAGCTATGTCTCGAGCCGATCAGAGAAGAGGAACCGTGTCAAATTTCATAAATAACACCTTCCATATTTGGAAAATGGGCTTGATGACGTGCGTACTGCTTAGCTGTCACCATGCTGTGCATGCTCAGCAGTGTAATTGAATGGAAGAAAACAATTACTTTTGGTGTTTTGCAGCTCTATTTCGTTCCCTGACGGTACCCAAATCTAGATGTAGGAATCTGTTGAGCAGGAGAGTGACACATGTCTTCCCGAAGGCTGTCCAGCCTGCAGTGGTGATGAAGAAGACACGAATAACACCCCAAGATCGATTGTAGCGAATTGAAAAACTCATGGTGAATTTGCTTCCACTCCAAGGCAATGTCGAGGTATGAAGGGTGCTTGTACTGCCTTCCAAAGTGCAGCGGAGATGAACATGGCTTTGCATAGCTGTTGTTCTACGCCAACTTACCTACTCTTGCTGGTACGTAGTGGTATATTGCAAATTTCGTGGACGAACAATTTGAGTCACTAGTGGCTAGTGAGCAACACTAACAGGTGAGATTTTTCAATTTGACAAAAATTGTTCTTGTTTGAGAACAGACGGTGGCAGTCATTAGACTCAGTAGGTGTCTCTCTGCGGCTTCTTTCCCTTCATCGATAGGGTTGTGCTTGAAGTCGAAATAAATAGAACATGTGGAACAAAAATCTGATCATGTAATTCGAATTTCAATTTCAAAGTACATGTATGTGTACATCAAATCACAAAAATTTCAATATGGTGCTGTCCACTGAAAAAGACTGGGGGCTGGCAGCAATGGAAAGGGTAGAAACGAAACCAGTAAAGTAGAGTATTCATAAGGTAGAGGGAGTTGAAAACGGGAGACGAGTAGTGAGCATTTCAGTTCGAAGTAGTGTCAATAGACAGCATTGTGTTGCATATGTTGTGAATATTGTGCGAATCTAATAATTGGCAGAGGGTAGTGATTAAGCAGAGTATTGTTACAATACGAGGTACTTTGTGAGCAGATAGCAATCAATATCACGACATGGTTTAGACAGGAACTCATAAATGTCAAGAAATTGATAATCCAAAATTATAATTATTATCCCCTGAGTAGTAAAATTATTATGGTGTTCTCCTGTGTTTACATGCAGAGCCTTGACATTGCTGGACGAGCGACAATATAAATTACATAAACGTGTAGCTCATAATGTGGGATGACTGCCGTATTGCATTGCCAACGCAAACCCATCCTGTGTCAGTGCAGCCATCCAGCAACGTACTCCCCGGACCAGATGCCGCTGCAGCTGAACACCATGCCGATGGAAAGCCAGGAGTTGATGGCGAAGCATTCTGGTCTGCACAGTACAAGGCAAAGAACAATAATATTATGAATTATAACGCATTGTAATCCTTCCCACACATCTTTGTAAAAACAAACAAACAGTGCCATTATCACAACACTTGATCAAGCATCTTGATGGAGGTATTTTCCATTGTGCTGGCCCAGCATCTGCACCAGGAAGACCATGTACACTTACAAGTATCTTGTGTGTGTGTGTGTGTGTGTGTGTGTGTGTGTGTGTGTGTGTGTGTTTGTGTATCCGTCTGTGCACACGTGTGTGTGGGGGGGGGGGGCTGGGGGTAGACGCATATGTGTATGGGTAGGAGTGTGTGTGTGTGGGGGGGGGGGGGGTTCACACACATGTGTATGGATGTGCGCGTTGCATGCGTGTGTCTGTGGGATGGGGTGGGGGTGCACGCACATGTGTACATGTGTGCGCGCAATATAGAATGTGTGTATTGTGTTCGTTGAACACACGGAGTCCTCCTGATTCCATAAACTTTGTGATCATTGTGATTTTATGTGCTTTGAAGTTGAAATTCGCAATACATGTACTGATGCTTGATTAGATTTATGTTCCACATGTTCTATTTATTTTATTTTACTTCAAGCACTTGTACTATCAAGCACAACCCTACCAATGAAGGGAAAGAAGCAGCAGAGACACCTATACTGAGTCAAATGACTGCCACCGTCAGTTCTCAAACAAAAACAATTTTTATCAAATTGAAAAATCTCACCTGTTAGTGGTGCTCACTAGCCACTAGTGACTCGAATTGTTCGTCCACGAAATTTGCAATATACCACTACGGAACCAGCAAGAGTAGGTAAGTTGGCGTAGAGCAACAGCTATGCAAAGCCATGTTCATCTCCGCTGCACTTTGGAAGGCAGTACAAGCACCCTTCATACCTCGACATTGCCTTGGAGTGGAAGCAAATTCACCATGAGTTTTCCAATTCGCTACAATCGATCTTGGGGTGATATTCGTGTCTTCTTCATCACCACTGCAGGCTGGACAGCCTTCGGGAAGACATGTGTCACTCTCCTGCTCAACAGACTCCTACATCTAGATTTGGGTACCGTCAGGGAACGAAATAGAGCTGCAAAACACCAAAGTAATTGTTTTCTTCCATTCAATTACACTGCAGAGCATGCACAGCATGGTGACAGCTAAGCAGTACGCACGTCATCAAGCCCATTTTCCAAATATGGAAGGTGTTATTTATGAAATTTGACACGGTTCCTCTTCTCTGATCGGCTCGAGACATAGCTCATCGGAATCAGTGCCCAATTCTCCTTCGGATAAGCCATACTTATTTTTGGCGTTCAGTTTCCCTTTAAATAAATTATTATATCGCCTGATCTGACCAGTCCGTGCGCCAGACCCTGTTTTGGCCCGATTTTTATTTTCTGCGCGGGAACCATAGGCAGACGTTATGCAGGGAAAGATGACGACGCCGGTCAGTAAATTGTTGGTCGATTTGTTGCCTACCTCGAGGCCAGTCGGTGAAATGAAGGCTTCCTTCTTCAAGAAATATGTTGCCAGTCGTTAGTCGGATGCCACTCGTCTTCTAATCATCGTACTTGATGCAACCAGCGCAGTTGGATGGACGGGAGGCGAGGAATTTATCGTTTTCGATTTTCACCCTATTCTGGGTTGCCATTACATTGCAGCTGGCAGCACCACGAGGGAATTTTTTGCACAAGGGAGACTAGGTGAATTCAACTCCTCAGAGATATCGCCATGACAGGGTAAGGTTATTTTAGCCCTGAAATTGTGTACAAACCAACGGCACGAAATTATGGAAATATTTATTTTTTTGCAATAATTGCATGTTGGTTGAAAAAATGTAGCCATCTTTGTATTGTGGCATCCTGGCGGTGTATTTCGTAACTATACTGCATGACAATATTATTTATGAGAAATGGCAGCGATTGCAGCGATTGTGAACAATGTACAATCAACAGCATTGGCAAAATTGATGCAGAGCTGTATGGTACTTTAGTACAATTTGCCTGTATATTGGTATTTTACACACAATGCATGAAACAGAAGAGCAAAATTATTATTGACTTATCAATTTATAGTTAGGACATGAATATGAAACCCATGACCAATGCCAATGACCCAGGGCCTGTGCACCTGCATTCAAATATTAAAAAAATCCCTTGTGGCATAATCATGTACTCTGTGCATACACATGCTTGGGGGGCGATACTTGCTGCTTTAGGGCTGTGGAAATTGTGGTGCTATGCTGCTTGGTATGTGTGTGTGTGTGTCTGTGTGCGTGTGTGTCTGTGTGTGTCTGTGTGTGTGTGTGCGTGTGCGTCTGTGTGTGCACACTTCACTTTCCGGCTGTGTATTGATGCCTATGTAGATATCACCATGATCAACAGGGTCAAACGCTTCCAGCGGACAACAGTGGATCACCTTATTTCTCCCACTGGAGTGGTCCTAGCTTGAAGTGATGTATGACTATCAATTCTATTGACTAGCCTTGAGGCATGTACCAAACGTCAGCATGTCTGTGATATCAATACATCACACTTACATTTGAAAGCTATATGCTGGAAGGCAGTCAAGTGGGCTTTTCGTCAAACACAACCCTACCAATGAAATGAAGGCAACGGGCAGAGACCACTAATGGTAGGGCCACACAAGGTGGCTGTGCCAGTGGGGAAGACCCAGCTCAACAAGGTGTTCTTGCAAGTTTGATCGGAACAGCACCCTGGTCCAAATCCTCAATATCAGTGAATCTTACTGGTCCATGTGGCTGCTGCCTTGACTCGTGATGCCTACGATTGGATGCAAGCTGCACGAAGTATGTTGCAAAGAAGAGTACAATGGATCTTGAACTTAGCACGAGAGGCGTGCACTTCGTTGATAACAGCAGAACCGTTGCATGACTATCATAGCACTCTCCTTATTGCAATATTTAACCAATGCTCCATCTGTTGTAGCAGCTACCACACAACTACAAGTATGCATTCATTACCTGGCTGTCTTGTATAAACTTGTGAATGCAATCACGTGATGCTTTGTGCACATATGCTCCCATACTTTAGCGGATGTGCGCGTGTGTGTGTGTGTGTGTGTGTGTGTGCATGTTTATGGGTGTGTATGTTCGTGCACGTATGTACGTGTCCATGTCTGTGCGTTTGCATGTACATGCAGACGTGTGTGGGTCTGTTGAAAAAGCGCATGAACACGTGTCAATTCACGTGTGCATGTATGTACGGGTGTATGGTAAACGTATTCTTTGCTCCATGCGTCCGCCGTGAATGAAGGTACGAGACTTAATGTGTCATAGCTTGTGGCGGTTGTTCTGTAAATAGTAGCACCGTATCCTGGCCATCCGCAGATGCAATTTTTTCACTTCAATTCTGCATTGGCTCTGGTGCTGTGTTTGTAGTGTCATCCTCTCTGCATGAATTATTTATATTTCTTTCCCACCTCAGTACTGTATTTGGCTTGATATTGTTGCTGTTTTACATACAAGTATAGGCACATGCATTGATGTGCGAGGGTTTGTGTTTGGAGCTCCAGCAACCTGTTGGGGTTCGTGTTGTCTGTAAATTCGTGGTCTACGGATACAATCATGGTCTGGCTGGTACATCGCAGAATACTAGGACCCCTTGAACGATTCTGTCGGTCGTTCATAAGTCCACCAATTGAAGACATGTGTGTGTCAAAATGTGTCAAAAATACAGTGTTGACGAAACGGTTGGTATCACCGCTGTCGGATTTTTTGCACAAGCCAAAATTGGAGGATACACTGTTGGCTAATATCTCTTTCTAATTAAATAAGCAGGAAATAGCGAAACCCTTGTACAAACCAACGGCACGAAATTATAGCATGTTCAACCAAAATATCAGCGACATAACGAAAACGCAAGCGACGAGCGAGAACTCAACTTCTCGTTATTTGTTGTCGCCACGGACAAAACTTAGGGCAGAGAACAACTATTAGGTTGGATTTCGACAACGATCTGAGACGAAGAACTCACGGGAGACGTAAACCAAAGGACGACGAAGGTGACGCCATTGAGTATTCGTCTCGCGATATCTTGAGAAAACTGCGAAATCTGGCAAATCTGGAAAATAAAAGTGCAACTTTAAGGTGGCAGGCTACCTTCGGCGCCAGCCGATAACAAACATGCATTCAAATGTCTGTAACATTGGCATCCCTCATTATTTTTGCACCAAATTTTCTACACATGCTGGTCAGATAATAAAGAACACTTGAACAACCACCACACATGCATTTCGACTTGGAGAACAGGATGCTGGACACACCAAACAAGAATATCGCAAAAATGCGGTCAACAAATTTTTGGTACAAGTTTTCTGCAAGGATTTTAGCAATAGCCAGATACTTATGTTACATAATGAGTGTTCTTGCTCAATACTAGATGCTCACGAAGAGATTTATGCTTCTAGATGTAAAGAATCTGGCTGACACACACATCAAGAAATCACGTAAAGAACGCGCCGTTGGTCCAATTATCTTTCTGTGCCCATACGTCAGTAGATGTGACAAAATCTTCAAAAGTAGAGACGTGAGCACCTTGCAAATTTGACGTAGATATGAATACATATATAGTTTACTGGATTTGGACATACCAAACTGGAGATATGGTGTACCAAAGGTCACACGGTACCCCCCAAAAAGGGCAACTTTTAGCACTCAAAAACCACCAGGACAGTACGTAACGCCTTCCGTCTCTTTGGCCTTGTCTGCATAACCCTTTTTGAAATACCTTCGAATCACCATCGCCAATGTAGGATGTGTAGCGAAGGCCATTGAGAGCCTCAGATCGATTCCAAATCTTCACTACTGCTGCAGTCTCCATGGCTGGCGATGAGACATTGGTGTTGATGTCGCAGCTGTCAGCATGTGCAGCCTTCCAGGTGGCAAACTCCGCTGCCGTGACTGTCTTCGTGTCGCGTTTGTTGTCCCAAACCTTGCAATGGTTGCAATGCTTCGATAACACCTCCACATCCACCACTTTGAGTGTGTCGTACGCAATTACTGTTTGGACACCAAACACAGAAGAGTACCCACGCCGCATCCATGTGCCGTCAGTGCTTACGGCCACGTGTGACGGATGGTCAGATCCACTCGCTTGCCGCATAGCCAGTAACTCTGCAGCATGGTGCCGCATGCTATTTGTCCCAACTTCAACTGCTGCATCA